AAAGATCAGCGTTGATTGCATCCTTAATCTTCTTCTTCTCAATGGCCTCCTTGATCCTCTTCTCTGCCTTCAGACACGCAGTGTCAAGCTTCTGGGAGAGTGATGGAGATGCGAGTTGTAGGCCTTGATTCCCCTCACGCGCCTGTGAAGAAGCTCCCCAGAAACACTGGAATACGAGCTTCGTCTGCGTGCTCTTTCTATCGCCCCATATCATCACTGTGTCGCCGTTCCAAATTCGAGCCCAATGGTGTGAGGGGCCGCTGTGGTTCTTGGCATCAGAAGAAGCAAGTTGGTAACCATTGATGCTGATACCAACAGATGCTTTGGTCGAGATGTAAAACCCATACTCGTTTGGGTCTCCAGCATCTCGAAGCCAAGGAGGAGGGACTTTATCAGGATCCTTTGAAGGGTCAAAGGTGCCATCTTCTTTCCAGAGTAGCAGTTTAAACGCATACTTCGGCACTCGAGATTCTTGTATATCTCTGAAGACCACAGTATTTGCCGGGCCACGGCCGAATGACACCAAAGTATCTTTGATAGGAATACTAATCCCAGAGACACAGGACTCATGATGAGACTCAAGCACGCCAATGGCACGTCTATTGAGCTCATCTTCCTGAACCGGGACAATTATCTGCGTGTGCGTAGGCATGGTGTCGGGAATCTGAGAGTTCTCAAGCGGGGCGGCAGTCGGAGGAAATTCCAGGGGCTCATCGGCCGCTGTGTCCTGGGGTGTCCGCGAGCTTCGTCGAGCTTGGTTGATTTGTGACCCGGCTTTGGAAACGGGGGAGAAGTACTTCATCGCAAGATCCCATAACGGCGATTTTCCGGGCTCGAATTTTTCATTCCTTGCTGCCGCACCCCGCTCGAAAGCTTTGTGTTGCAAATGTGTGAGCTCCGGGTAGTCGAAGTGCCACGTTGTTTTGTCTTGCTCCCAGAAACACGTCTTGTTGTAAGGCTTGTCGATTTGACGCCCTGAAGCTTGCTTCTCGGCAGATGGTACTTGCACCAGCAGTTTGTACTCTTCAAGTACGTCATGTGCTACATCTTCAATATTACCTTCTGACTTAAGTCTTTTCATTGTAGGCTTTCCTTGGGGTGTGTTGTCGAACTCATCGCTTGTGTCATATGACGAGGGTTTTCGTTTACTAGTATTGAAGTCTGCCGATTGCAGAGAATAGCGCGATGGCCCGGGGCCTTGCAGTTTTGGCTCATTCCCACCGAGGCTCTGTGACGCCACGTCCTCGACAAGACTCTGAAGTTGGTCCTCAGACTGATTCTGTGCCATTGAAATGTTATTCTGGCGATATGTTCGGCGATTCCTGTTCCTGGGCGTGACCAAATCGTCCGATTGATATGCTTCATCTTCATCCTTCCGGAGGATTTCAGTTTCGTCTCCGCTATGGTTGCTGCTGTCCTCGAGATTGAGATAATCTTCCGGGATAACTCCTGAGCTACCAATCGCCGAGACGCCAACTTCTCCGAATAGTCTTGGCTGGTTCGCTTCTAGTGGTACCGTCGGGGTTTCTTGTTCTGACTCTTCGCCCATAGAGTCACTGACTCTATCTTCTTCGAACTGTCTAGGTTGCAATTGGGAAAAGTTGTCAAACATATCATCATCCGAAATCTCGTCAAAGGACTGTGAAGCGCTGATGATAGAGTCTTCGCCGGAAGACCATGGGTGGCTTTCGAGTTCTGCCACGGTTGCTCGGTTTTCTGGCCGGCGCTGGAGCATTCTGCAGAGGAAGTCAATAGCTTGCTCCGATACATCATTCCTCTGCAGTGGTGCAATGTTCAGCCGGGTGGTCATAATTTTGTGTAACAGCTCCGAGTAGCTGATGCCACTCTTGACAGGATAAGGAGGCGACGCAGTCAGAGCATAAAACAAGACCCCGCCTAGAGACCAGATGTCAACCGCGTGGTTGTATCTCTGGCCCGGTGGACGTCTCACCTTCTTTCCTCGACTACGTACACCGTCATCGTCGTACTCGGCATATTCTGTATACACCTCAGGCGCGCAATAAAGCAAGGTGCCACAAAACGTTCGCAGGAAGGTCTGTTCGCTGTCGACCATTTTCGATAAGCCAAAGTCGGTAAGCTTGAGATCAATTGGATTGAGTGAGTTTATGAGGATGTTGTCTGGTTTGACGTCGCGATGAGTGATGCTATTGGCGTGTAGATACCCCAAGGCACTCAAGAGCTGCCCTGACATGGTTCGAACAACATCCTCCCTCAGAGCCTTTTGGTCTGAGATGAGTTTTCCCAAATCGCCGCCGGGCACAAATTCCATGATGATGATCAGCAATCGGTCATCCCATTCAAAGTGCTCCATGTAGCGAACAATATGCGGCTTTTAAGTTGTGTTAGCAATGGAAGCGGGTAACAAGGCGCAGAACTCACATGCTTAACCCGCTGCATGATCTTCATCTCATTCTCTACCTTCTGATCAAGTACGCCGTTCTTGATAAAGCGGCGCTTTTCAATCTCTTTAGCAGCATATGGCAATCCGTCATACTTTGAGGTGACCCTGTGGACAACTGCGAAGGCACCCTTTCCGATCGAGCCGGTTCTATTATATTTTCCGGAGCCCGTCCATTCCCGTGTTGCGTCTCTTCTTTTAGACAACGTCTGAGGAGTACGCTGTGTTATCTCATTAGTCTCTTCTCTTTTGAGATTAGTCTGGGCAGGTTGTTTGAAGAGGTCAACGTGGCCGCCTGGTCCAGGCGTGATGGTTTCATTCTGGCGTGGTAGCCCATGACGTGTGAAGAAATCGTCGACTTTATCGGTATATGCTTGGTCATACTCATTATCACGCCTTGGTATACGGACTCGGAAAGTCAAGTCCCGGGCCTCCTTATGGAGATAGATCTTAATGATGGATCCAGAACTCAAAACCCACTTGCTAATCGGAGGGTCACTTCTTCCCTTGGCTTGAGGGTGGGAGGTTAAAAGGTGGTCATCCACAATGGTACCGTTGGTCGATTGGTCCTCAACCATGACAGTGCCATATTCGTTGACGTAAATCCGGAAATGAATGTTACTGATTCGTTTCAAGGGATCATTGACAAACACAACGTCGCATCGCACAGGATTTCGACCAAAGACAAAGCCGGCTTTCGGAGTCTTGAGGTGCGACGACAGACGGAGGATGATGGCATGGGTGCCGGTGCCGGTTGGATTGGCGAGAAACCGGGCTGCCTGGTCTTCCAAGGCATAGTCGGGTTCGACGCCATCTGCTTCGTCCTTTCCAATGATATGTGGGGAGTTTTCGCCGACCAGACGTTCGAGTTCGACACGGGCAGAATCAGAGTGTGGGTAGAGGACGCATATTATGTCGGAGATATCTTCGTCTGAGAAGCCTGAATTCTGCTTCCCAACACGGCGCGGATCCAGAACATTCTGCGTCGCTTCCAGAGGGAGGTCAGCTTGAAGAAGGGGGAAGCATTGGATAGATGGGCAGGCGTACCTTGCGTGGGCTCGTCGCCGTCCATTGGAGGGACTCGAGCAGCCTACGCTGCGAAGCAATGCAAGACTGTCGTAGAAAATTCCAACGAGGCCGAGTTGAGGCAAATCGTGAGATCGTACTAAAAAGTCGAGGCGATCACGGGCGCATCTAGCAAGAGGGTTGAAAGTCCTAGGCGCTGGTGTAGTTGGGGTAACAACCAGCCAAAAGTTTGTATGTCTCGGTGCGGTCGAGTCGAGACAACAGTTGTGCGAGTCTTGTATAAAGAAATTGCGTATGTTTGGAGGTAAGAAAGAAAAGAAGAAAAGAAACGAGACAGACAAGTGAAGAGTATCAAGAGTCCAAGAGAGGGGGGCAGGATAGAAAAAGAAACGACAAGGGACTTTGAGGTTCAAGTATTGGATGGGACGGCTGGGACGAGGGATGAGGGACGTCACGACCGACAGTTTCCATCCTCGAGTGTCAAGTCGCTACTGACGCTGGTTGGCTGATATCAATCGGAATCTGGATTAACGGCGTTGGCTGACCTATCAGACTGAGATTTAGCAAGGTGTTAGGCACCCTCTAGTGACCGCTTCTAGGCTGATAAATCCCCAAGAGAGCAAAGTCGCAGCGGGGAGAAGCCGTTTGAGTGCCGTTCATGATCACCAACGGGGCGGCGACCCCTTACCTCCACCGACTGACAGAGTGGAAACGGTCCCTCCAGACTTACTGTACGTCTCGGATGCCTCAGCAACCAGAGAGGGTTAAAAAAAAAAAAAGTCAAGCTCATCTGATTCAACAAAACAAGGTCACATCACGTTTCTTTTCTTGTAACACGGGCGCGTGAAAATGGTACTTGGGGCGCGTTCAGGTCACGCGCCTTGTCACTTCACTAACAATCACAGGCTATTAAGTACAAGAATCTACCTCAGTTCATCAGGCGCCTACCAACAATGCTTTGCCCTCGAGACTCGCCTCCAGAAACGAGCGGGTCGAGCAAAGTCACTGGACAGCGACGCCTGCCAAAGGTCTCAGCCTAGTTCACGCAGCGTCATCAACCAATAGATGACTTTCTTCTCAACTCTTGCTATCTACGTCATGATATTAGACAGAAATACAATTGAGTTTTGTTCGTTTCTTTTCTTTTCTTCAAGAAGTAAGAATTATATTTATCCCGGACTCTGTGTACCTTGTTTTAAGCGCCATCCATCATAGAACCTTACTTGCACCTTGGTCCTTACATACGCGGAATGTCAGTTGAAAGCACTATAATTCTTAGAAGAAAAAGAAATGTATGTTAGGCAGATTCAAAATGCATCTATAAACAAGTATGCTGCCCCTTCCAAAGGTAATGTAGTCCTTTTTTTGTATGCCCAAGACTATAACTATGCAATTGGTTTTCAACCCGCTGCCCCCAAATAAGCACGTCTTGCCAATTCCTGAACGCCATGTGATATATGCGGCCCCTTCATGTTTGCTCCAAATCGCTTCAATCATCCAAATATCCATGATCTTAGTCAAGTAGTGGTATACCTAGACCCTGCCCTGTCCGTTACTAAAACGCCTGTCCTTGATACTGGGGATGAACGTTTCGAGTGGTCTGCTGAGCTCCAGGCGATGGGCCGTATTGACCCTGAGGTGGTACGAAGCGAGGGTCGACCTGCTGCGCAGCCCGGAGTGGTCGCGAGAAACTGTTCGGCTGTCCAACTCCTCCCATCTGCTGAGTTGCCGGTCCGTACGGCGATCCACCGGGAGTGTACTGACCAGCTGGCTGGCCCATGGGGCTGTATGGGGGAATGTTACCAGCACCCATCATTGGCTGTTGATATCCCTGCTGGTAGTTTTGTTGTTGTTGAGCCTGCTGCTGGTACGAAATCTGTTGCTGTTGGGCCATATGCTGTTGCATCATTTGCTGCTGAGCCATTTGTTGCTGCGCCATTTGCTGCTGGTACGCCATGGCAGCCTGTTGCTGCTGACGCTGGCTGATCGCATGCTGGACTGCCTGGCTGTTCACTCCTTGCTTCATCTGTTGCTTTTCTCGTTCCCGGGCCTCGATAGCACCAACTAACCCTGATCCAGAGGAAGCTTGCCTCTGGTGGCCAGGCATAAAACTACCCTGGGAACCCTGTCTCTGATGTCCTGGCATACTGATCAACGGCTGGCCTGTGAGGCGGGCAACATGCTCCTGCTCCCGAGCACTGAGGTGGCTAGATGTTTCTCCAGAGCTTGCAAAGTTCAAGGTCGAACTAGCACCCCGCGATCCAGGTCGTGCAAGCAGATCAGCAGAACTGCTGCGAGAGTGGCGGCCGTTCTGAATAGCGTGTAGCATGTCAGAAGAACTAGTTCGTTTTATGCCTGGGCTGGGTGAGCCGCCCAAAGTGTTGCCGGATGCACTGCGAGCATGAGCTGCCCTTTGCTGCACAAACTCTTCGGGGCTTAACCCGTGTGCATTGCTCGGAGGAGTTGATGCGCCGGGCTGCCATGCCATGGTGCGCTTTGGATCTGGGGATTCCTTACGTCCTAGAGACCCCTGAGAACCCGAATATTTATGAGGTGGGGGCGTTGGTCCTTGACCCCCGGGTGTATGCGGTCTCTGTGATGAGCCGCCAGGAGTCAGAGCGCTGGGTGTTTTACTGCGGTCCTTGGTGGCTGCGTAATTAATGGTCGGGCCGAAATTGATATCTGGTATATCAAAGCCAGGGTCTCGAGGATCGGGCTCCTCAGCGCCACCGACAGTCTTCAGGACACCGGCTCGGGGCTTTGGTTCGCTGTATTGGTATGTATCTACAAAGTTCTTGAGGCTGCTGGTGGGAGAATTATCCTCATAATGACTGCTTTGGTTGCTCATGTGGCTTTCTTGCCTGCCTGGGGGTCCCGGCCGCCTCTCTGAGTTCGGTGTGCCTTGCCGAGGTGTCTGACGACCTTGATCGAACGCATAATGGTCAATTATCTCATTCGTGGTGATGCCACTGCTTCCCGACATAGTGTTTCCCTTGGAATTTTCAAAAGGCGCAGGTGGGGGCGGTCCGCCTGGCACAGGCTTTCGGTGGCCCATTGGTCCCGGTGGTCCATGAGGAGGTCCGGTAGGGCGATAACCCGGAGGTGGTCCAGGAGGTCCGGGGCGCCCTGGTCCGGGACGATAATTACCATGGGGGCCAGGTGGCGGAGGCATGTGGCCAGGAGGAGGACCATTGCCACGACCTCGAGGGTCTGAAGGTCTACGCCCATCAAAGCCAGGACCCCGAGGATCCGATGGTCTTCGTCCGTCAGGGCCAGGCCGTCGAGGGTCAGACGGTCGGCGGCCATCAGGGCCCATGTCAGGCCGACGGTTGGCATTTTGAGGATGGGGAGGTCGTTGTTGAGGTGGCATACCGGGAGGCATCGGAGATCGCCGTCCTTCTGAAGTTCCAGGACGGGAGTTAGGCCCGCGGCCATATGCACTAGGAGGCCCAAGCGGGGGCTGGGCCAGTGGCGATCGTGATCGTTGTTGGGATAAGTTTGCCGGAGGAGGAAGACTGTTGAAAGAGGGATCCTGATTCAGTGGGCTTAAAGCTTCACGCGAACGGTTGTCGTTAGCAGATATCCCTACGGAGTTGGCGTGTGGTGGCAGTACCGATGGTCCAGATCTTGCAGCGTCCACCTCATCCCCTCGTGGAGAAGGATTTGAATCGTTTTGGCCACCCAATCCTCCAGCTGTGGCAAGCTGGGCCAGAGTTGTGACAGAAAGCCTACTATTAGCCCGCCTAAGCTCAGGCGAATGATAGGCTCTGCTGACAGGGCGAGCCTGGGACCCGTGGCTAAAGGCTGGGGGTCGTGAGACTGGTTCAGGAGTATGCATCTGACGCATACCATCCAGGTCTTTCAGGGGAGGAGAGCCAGAGGGGGCTCGTTCATTCTGGTAAGCGGGACTCTCGTCACGTGAAGCTTGGTTATGGCGCGGAGCGCCAACCGGAGTTTGTCCACGTTGTGGCGAGCCTGAGTAAGGGCTATTACCATTGGTACCAGGACGGAGAGGAGGGCCTCCCAATTGGTTGGGGTCGGATGAGTTACGGCCATGTCCTCCGAAGGCAACCCTCGCAGGATCTGCGGGAGCTGAGTCTGTTCGAGTGCGATCAGTGAGAGAGAATGATCGCGAGGATCTGGTCGGGACTTGTTCATCCGAAAATCCGGCCTTGGGTTTTGGAGGTCCATCACCAAAGCTTAGTCGAACACTCTTTCGACTGTTGCTTCGAGAACGTGTCGTGGGTGCATCATCTACAGCATTCATGCGAGTGCCGGTGCAGTCCTTGAGCTTCTTTCTCCAATCTCTCTCGCCCCATCCAGAGCTACCATCCTCAAGAATGAGGTTGGAAACATCCAAATTCTCAAGATAACCATAGCGCCGGCTCTTAGGCATAGCAAACATGAGAGATCTGGAGTCAAGTGTGCTGGCAACAAGTCTACCAGGTCGGCCGTAAAGACCAAAGGTATCCCAGGTAGGAAAGAGGAAACGCAGCAGCATCTCGAATCCGCTGACAGCAGGGTGAGTTTCAGGCATGATGAAGACGAACCCTTCGGTAGACGAGGGGGGATCAGTGTGAATAGCAATGTTACCCTCAACTTTGAGTAAGGTCGACGCGTCAATCAATGACTTGGACTGGGGATAGATGGCATAGGCAGAGTAGGCGTCGGTGATGGTAGCGATTGGCTGCATCTTCTTCTGCTTCTTGCCATCCTTTCGCTGGTCATAGAACTTAACATCTCCCTTGAGTGTGGGCACAGGCGATCGATCGTAAGGAGACCTCTTCTTAAGCTCCTTCTGGAGTTTTGCATACTGCTTTTCGTCAGGAGGGGTGATAACACACCAGCATCGTCTCCAAGGTACACCAGCGCCGAATCGGACTCTAACCCATTCTTCGGTGGGGAATCGTGCCCTCTCCATGATGACACCAATATTGTTGAGCGATTTGCCCTTGCCTGCAATCAGAGCGCCAGTATAGGCCTCCTGCAGAGAGGAGTGCTCGAAAATAGCTAGTCGAATGCCAGCAGTCCATTGCAGCAGCGAGTGTCGCGAGTTGAAATGGAGGAGATATCTGTTTCTTCCAGCCGTTGAAATGCTCAGGATGTTCTGTAGCGGTTGCTCGTCTGAAGATCTTGTAGGCAGCGACTCGATCTGTGACGAAATTGTGTTAATCAAGTGTGAAGACATACTTGGCACGCGAGCGGGTTATTCACCATTTTGATTGAGGCATCTGTCAAGTTGATAAACTTAGGCAAGACTTCGCCGTCTTCGCCAGCTGCATCGAGTTCTGCGGCATCCCAGAGTGACAAGACGGTTCCCACAAGCTGGGCAAAACACTCTGTCCAGGTTCTATCAGGGTTGGGTTTGCCTTCTGTAACCGGCTTTGTTAGCTGAACATCCTTGCAGCACATGTGTAAATAGTTGAGTGTGGAGTAAACTTGGCGTCACAGGGGTGCAAGTGTGGAGGGGAACAAGCGGCAATGGAAGCTAGATCGAGCGTACGTGTATTCTGGTCATCGAGCTTGAGGAAATAACCCTCTTGGTACAGCTTGTTGGAATGGCTGTTGAGGAATGAAAAGATAGGCTGCAGTTCGGGGATCGTATCCTCCGTGATATCCATGATGGCTGGTTGATGAGCCAGGACCATGGACGGGGGTCGTGATGATGCAGCAGATGAGCTGCGTCTTCGGCGAGCAGAAGGTTCGATCGGGGAGCCGCCGTTTATGGGAGTGCCATAATCTGGCCGCGAAGGCGGTGTGTTTGGCCGAGAAATGTCGGTACTGACTCGGTGGTCGGGAAAGGGTTCTGTACCAGAGTTCGTCTTGCGATGCCCCGGTCTGTGAGGTGAATTTGACGGAGGAGAAGTTGAGGGTGGCGGTGTCTTTGTGCCCGCAGAGAACTGGGACATAAAAGAGAGGACTAAAGTATTGGCACCAACGAGTTAGTACGACAAGGACGGGATGAGGTGAGATGTTATGAACAGAATGGTATGCAGCCCCCTAGGGGAAGAGAGCCCGTCGCTCAGTCCCTTGAACCAAAAGAAACGGAACCCTAGATGAGCTAGCCAAGGACATTTTGGGCCACCACACGTCAACGCATAGTGGATGTCAAAGCCCCCGCCGTTCCGAGAGGTACCCATAAGCAGCCCCCCCTGGCTGTGGTTACAGGCGTAGAGCTGCCACCGTGCAGTGGGCATCCATCATGACATGGGCAAGCCCGCCTAGACTTAGACTGGGCCAACGCCAGGGCAAGGACCAGCGAACCACTAGCGCCGTCTTCTGTCTTGTCGGGTCGTAAAGCGACGCAACGCAACGTACGTGGCGGACGATCAAAGACAAGTCCAGAGCTGGAATGAGATTCACGAATGCACAATATTTGATGGTACGCACCTCGATTTCGACCCATTTTGTCCACAATGCTCGGCCTGCAACTGAAGAAATTTCTGAGACAAAAATATCAAGAAGAAGAAGAAAACAGGCCAATTAGTGCCCAGAAACCACAAACAGCGAAAGGGAGAGAGCTGTTAGGTCAGTAGTTGAACAGATCAACTGCGCAAGGGATGTCTCGACAGGTGTGAGGTGCGTCAGCCACAATACTGACGACAGTCTGGTACCGTAATTTCCAGACAAGCTTGTCTATAGCTGGGCATCCAAGATCAGGGCGAATCCAAGGTCCAGGAGTGAGGAGGAAAGAGGAAGAAAACAGGCCCTTGCGTGCGGGACGATTCAGATGTAGGTGAAGTGGGCGCTTCTTGTATGTGCGACTTTATTAGACTCTAGACTCCCTTTAGAACTCGGCGCCGGACTGTATCCATTCAAAGGTGGTGCTGCGGCGGGTGCGAAGCAGATTGCGGATGCAGATACGGATGCTTCGGGCGACTGACATGTCAGTCAGTACTTATTAACCGGCCAAGGATGACCAGCCCTGGTACAGCTGGTCGAGGTCAAAACTGTGGTGAACTACCGTAAAAGGAATTGCAGCAACTGAGCGAGCGACGAGTGAAAGTGACGAGAACCTAGTTAGACGATGCAAGTCTTGGCTCTGAATATGGGGATGGTCGGTAATTTCTTATATAATTTCGTGATTTCAGTGTAGGTACGTCAACACGCGGAAGCCGGCGTCGGCGGGCTTGAGAAAGATCGTCAGTCGGCGATGGCAATTGGATGCCAATGTCAATGTCAACGGCACTTTGTTAGTGGTCGGTACAGCGCTGTAATGCGTGCGTTGAGCTCTAAAAGGAGATGCGTCGTTCAGAACGTCCACCTTTTCCCAGGGTTTGGACTTGCGGGCTTTGGTTGTTTAATAAATCTGTCAGAGGCTGGTAGGGACCCAGAAATCGCAACGTCAAGAGCAGGTTTTCTTGGAAAAAAGAGGACCTCCAACAAGCTTCAAGCCTGGTCCAATGCTGCGATCTCCAGCCAGCGCGGGGGTCCCTTTACTGATAAGTCCCACGAGTTGAGCAACTTTCAGCTAGAGTTGTCTCCGGAGCTGGTAACAAGAGGGTCCGGGCTTAGGCGATCCTGTTTGCTTGCTTGCCTGCATACAAAAATGTGCTTTGCTCTGCTTTGCTTGGAGCCGCGTACCCCCGTACCCATACAGGATGGTCCCATCCAGTGCTTTGATGAGCGATTCGCGATGAACGAATTGAGTGGTGATGGACCTGGTCGATGGCATACGTCACTAGCAGCCGGCGATGGTCTGGGCGAGAAGTCTAAGTCTAGAACCGACACCCTCAAATCACTAAGAGGACCCTCTTAGCACCTCTAATGTACTGCACACCGAGTAATGAGAGCAAAGTCGGTGAGCCAAGAGGATTAAAACGGAAATACAAGTATAAAAAGTGAATCAGGGAATCGAACAGAGGATGGATGCTCTGAGAAGCAAGGAAGACTGCAACATGCATACAATAATGGCAGGGTATCGTATTTCTATATACTTGACATGAAGCCCAGTTTCAAGTTGACGACGTAGCTTGGAGACGAAAATAGAGCTCAAAGAATGACAGAGCATGAATCGGAGCCTTCGCAAGGCAGGCCTTTGTTTCGCAACATGCCTTTCACTAACAGGAAAGATGCTGAATGGACAGTTGGACGTCTAGAGAGCCATACTGGAGAAACATGCCATCCAATCATTCTGACACCGGATCAGTTGTCTATGACCCAGCCAAGATCCGGAGACATGCGTGGTGCAACGTGAAGAAGAGGCCGCGCGCATCTGGGCTTCAGTCGCTTGGCGCGGGCTATCACCAGTATCATACCTTTGTCTGAGACGGCTTTGATTTGGTATCCGAGCACACAACCTGGCATCCGGTACACATTGCAAACAGCAAGACTTGGGACTCGCGGCGGCGCAGCAGAGCTCAAGCAGTCAAGACAAGATTGCAACAAATCTTGTCCAAACGCTTCACGACTTACGAAAGAGGTAACTTGGTAGCTTTGCAGCTTGGGTACCTGCAGTATATACCGCCGATCCACTGCCCAAAACTACTAACCTAGGCCAACGTGAGCCTATAAAAGAATATTCGGTAGACAGTGGCTGGGATTCTCCCGCTTCGGAGCCCGTAGAGCGGCGTTAACGACGGGCGGGATACGGACGGAGTGGATAGAGAGAGGCATATCCCGGCAGCCCGGCAAAACAGATTCGTCACTAACTACGGAGTAACGCCATCTTCCAATTCAAGGCTTCTTGTTGCCGCTGGCTCCATCAATGATTTCTCGTGGGATCCATTGAATGCGTCTCGGCGCCTGAAGCCCTGCAGCCAGCCACTCTGGTCGCGATTCTCTTGTTCGCCCATGTTGCGGGTATCGTCCCATCCTGTCAGCTTCACTGATGGGATGGAATGCCTACCGCCTCGTACCAGCGAAATTACACCATACCAGTGAGCGAGCTAAGTCAGCGAGCCAGGCCTCGTATTGCTTCAATAGTATTTCGCCAAGCCTCAACATGATATCTAGACTTTGCTGGTCTGGCTCCACCATCCTGCTTCATGGATACGTAAGCGTCCAGCCGCTGGGATTCGGAGAGAACCTGTCTGTTCGGAGTACGGATTTGTACAGTAACTATAAGCGGGCTTCACTCAGTAGTTTTCTGGGGTCAGAAAAAGCTTGGCACTTTGAGGCCTCAAATGTTGATTTTCATGTACGCATAGAGTGGGTAGACTATCAATTTCGGCGTCGTACTTTACAAACTGCTTTACTCCGTACTGTAAATGCCAAATGCAGACATACAATATCTGTAGCGATTTCATGCATAATGCCATTGCCTTCTAATACAGATGTTCATCACCTCTGAGCTTTGCACATACTGCAGTAGGACAGTCTTGAGCCTGAGTGAGGCATCCGAGCCCTAATTCAGCCGGACAAGGATCAGGATGGTTCGGGGTTTTCAAAACCTGGAGAAGACTACCTGGACTGTCAAACTCCGAATGGAAATTACATCTTTGAATAAGACCTTGCAGCTTGGGCTTGGGCTTGGGCTCCGAATCGTGATGGCAATGCTGCCAAGTTCTTGGTGTTTGTGACTATCATCAAGTCCCATTGGCCACAACGTATTATTGTTTGAGAAGATGTAAACATACATAGCTAAATTCAGGGCAAAATCTGATGAATCTCCTAGCTCAACCGGCTACACCGGCTTCCCCTTGGCCCTTGCACTATCCATGCTCACTCAGCCGCCAGAAATACGGTACGCTCGAAGGTTACAACCAGAATGGGGTTGTCATGTTATTTTGCAAAGGCGGCTAACTGATACCTTTGTCTCTATACGGCCAAGAAGGATTGCGTGTCAAGATGGGGATTGAAGTAATGGTCATGTCAATCACGATTGTGATTAACATGAGACGTCTCACTTCAAAGTCAACTGCACGAGATTGCTGTGATTAGTACAGCCTTTAACGGAGTAGATTCGGATACAAGCCCCGTACGATCGTCCAGGTCCACCTGTTTGATCGTCAGGCATTTGAAAAGCCAACAACTGATCTAAAGAGCCGCAGTTCGTCATGCCAGCTACACGTATGTCGTTACATTCATGTTCTGGACGCTATTTTCGCAGTCCGCATAATAGCGTCCGCAGGAGGTTCAAGCTGACCCCTAATGGGGAAATGGGCTTTGATTGAGAATCGATTCATCTCCATCCCTTACGTCATGAGTCCAATCTTGCGGTAATAAGTTTGGTTCAGATCGTGATGAGGCACTATTTCCAGTCCAGCTGATCTTTGCGTGGAGAAATCAAACATATCATGAGCAGTGTCTCAATAAAATGCGTCATCCTACAGCCCTCGTCTTATCATAAATGCCTTTCCTAAACGAATATTGACGATATCTCCAGCTAGTGGAGGATCCGGCTCCCTTCTGGCAGCTTGCAGGTTGCCAACCCTTCTTGGCATTCATGATTGGGTTGAATCTCTAGATCGGATTGAACAAGGTGCGGCAACCACGAGATTGGACACACTTTATTTTGTCAAGTTAGCTTTGTTTCGTTTCATGACGTGTGAAGATGCCTGTCTCTCCATGGCGCCAACACATGGTACCCTAAGCCGCTCCAGTGACTACAGCCTCAAGGAGAGGCAAGAAAACTCAGGACCTTGATCCTAAATGACAACAAGACCTAGCATAAGTTTAGTATGCTTTTTGCTAAGTTTATTTAACACACTATATCAAGGTCCGATATAACGAGGACTAAGTGTTGAAGTGTCATCTGGTGAATCTCTTCCCCAATAATGTTCTTAAAGTGCTGTCAGCTTCCCAGTAACTGGGGAACTTTCTCCCCAAAGGATCCACCATTGCTAGTCGTGTCTTTCAGACAACACAATTCACCAAAGTCATAATTGACTGAAGTCCCTTATTAATAGGGCCCTGGTAGGAATATACGCCTTTTCAGTTGTCAAGTTTACTCAGAGTTTCTCTGGATATAGCCTATTTGCGGATGTGGCATTGGCTGACTTATCAAACGCCATGCATTGCGACAATTGGGCTTCGGCCACTCTCTCACGGAAGATCGCCGAAGCACATCCCTATCTCAAGGCAAAGTTTTACAAAAGAAGCAGGCCAACCGCACAAACTGAATCGTTCTAAGGACGTTCACAGGGTGATTCTTTTCGTTCTGCCTCCAATGCTAGCTCAGCCTAGTCCTCTCTCCTACCGTTGGGGTCAACAATGAGCTCGGGTTCCTGCGGGAGAAGAATAGTGTTTGCAAATCATTGGTCGCTTTGACACAAAAACTGCCTGTTCTGGATGACGCCCTTGTTTGGCGGTCTCGGGCTTATCACGTGTCTGGGCAGCTGTCTGTAATCCCCCAGCTGTCCGAGCCTGATCACGGTGCTCTGCTCTCTCCTGGAGATCATATCTCTCTCTCGGAGAGCACATTAGCAATCTAACTACAGGTTGCGGCCAGGCAGGCAACTCAAA